CAGGAGGCAGTTTGACAGTTCTAATATAGAACTCCTATGACAACTTCCTTTAAAGTGTACTAAATAATGGCAATAGAAAAAAATTAGCTAAGGAGACAGGTGACATTCTGAAGCAGCATTATCTCACTAAATTTTTCAGAAAAACAAGTTTTATCCATCAATACATAACTAAGACTTCCAGTCTTCCAAGTACATTAGAAAGTATACAGTTAATCACAGCAAAATTTACAAACAACCAAATTTAGCTCTGGCCAGAGCCAGGCCTATTTACATATTTGGATTGGTCTCATTTTCACCTTTCCTTGCTATACAAATGTTTATATTTTAAAGGCATATCAAAATTTACAAAATTTGCAAGAAATGTCTTTGTAAATGTACAGCTTCAACAACTAATACAAATATGAACATCCTGATACAAGTAAGTTTCAAGTCAGGATTTTTTATGATGGGTTTAGAAAAATTAAAGAAATACTCTCTGATTCTTAAGTTCCAAACACTGGGTGCTGGTGCTGTCAAAGCGATTTCACTGCCCTTGGTGACCACCGGGATGGGAACAGAAGACTCCTGGCCTACTGTAGCAACACCTCAGACAGAGGCAGGAGGTGGCATGTTTAGTGATATTGCTAATTAAAGTTATGTAGATGCAACTGTCCAATTTAACACTTATATGAAAGTTGTACTTGTGTGAGGAAACATTTAGTTTTAAGATACTTTTAAATAGATTCCTTAGCTCTTAAGATGAAATGACATATCCACGTATTATGTACTCAGCACTAAAAAGGAACAAAGTACTGATACTCAAGGGATCCGGAATGGATCTCAAGGGAATTATGTTGAGTGAAAAAAGGCTGACCTCAAGAGGTTACATACTAGATGATTCCATTCATACAACATTCTTGAAATACAAAATTATAGAGATGGAGAACAGTTAGTGGTTGTCAGGGATTAAGGAGGGCAGTAGGGAGAAAGGTGGTTATGATTATAAAAGGGCAGCACTAGGGGTCCTTATGCTGGAAGTATTTTGTATCCTGACTGTGGTGGTGGTAAATGAAAATACATACGTGATAAAATTGCATAGAACCAAATACACATTCTATCTCAGGGCACCTATGACCTCCCAGGGACAACCTTGTCCTTGGTCTATCTGCACAAAGTCCTCTAAAAATGATTAATATCATACTTCAGATCAATTTTCAGCACTATGCAGAGAAGCCACTATTAGTATATTTTTCTCCTTTTTTGGGGTAAATTTCTTGATTATCTTTATAAGATAAACCACGTGTCTCTAGCTTAAATGAACTTGAAAATCAAAAGAGAAAATAAAAAGTTGATATACAGCTTCTAGTATTTTTGTCTTTTTTATTTTTGTAAATTAACATAAAAGATAAATCAAATGTTTCCAGGTTAAATTAGGTCAAATCAGAGAAAGAAAAAAGCAAACTATATAGCAAACACTTGCTCCTCTGACATCTGTAATTTCAAAAAGCATTGAGAATATTTTTATTAAATTTAGAGAAAAAACAACTATAAACAAATACATGACTTTTTCCAAAAGGCCACTTTGTGATAAAGTATATATACATAGTGTTCGTGGTTTTTTTAAAAGTGCTATATCATTTCTGGTTTGAGAACCATCTATTGTTTTAAGAGGCTTTCAACACAACTCCAGCGCTGTTGTCAGGTGACACTGGCAAAAGTGTAAATGTGGGCAAAACATCTGAGATGGGTTTCAAAAGAAGATGCCCGGGCCCACCAGGTCCAAGTCCAGCTGGGTTAATAAGAGGCACAGCTGCAGAGCGGGGAGCCAAGAATGGCTTCATGTCTGTTCTTCTACCAGACCTGGATTCTGTTGTATAAAAATGATAAAATATGGATTATTTAGTCTCCACCCTTCACAAATAAGTCAAATTGAAAAAACCCTCTGAATATAAGTAAGAGCATAAAGAAAGTTATTCTTATATTGTTAAACTGACTAATATAGACATATATGAATAACCAATTTACCACTACTATCAAATTTAAAATTCTACCTGGCTAGTAATAACGCTGGTATTTAGCACATTTTGTTGACTACTCTTTAATTATTCAAAATGAAAGTACAAATAGGCCTCCATTCCTAACCACAAATACTAATTTATATTACTAAAATCTGATTAAAGTTCAGCCTTGATAATTCAAAACATTTTCTGATAAAAACAATGTTAGACATGTGTTTTAGGTTCCCAGATTTGCCCCCAAATAATTGTAACTCATATACTGCTGGACTCTGGATCCCACATGCAGGGTCTATGAAATATAGAAGAGTAAAATAGGACAAGAAAGAAGTGAAAGAAATGGGAGAAAGAAAAGGGGAGAGAAGAGTATTTCCATGCATATTTAATATTTGATTGAACACATTAATACTGTTTTATATTTAAATACCAGTTATATAACTGACAGCCCTCATTTACTACAATAACAGCTTTTAAAAGGTCTTATCTATGCTGCAAGGCAAGCTACTTACCCAGCAGAAAAATGAAGAACTTGAGAACTTAATATATGGATACCTTACCTGATCCTCTTTTAGGCATTCAAAGGTTTGAAAACAATTCTCAATTAGATTATTTCTCTAAAAAGTTGAGCTAATACAGTTCCTTTTTCTTGGAATAAGTACGTAGTTTATGACCTAAGCTAGTGGATAGAATCCTGCTTTATTACCCAAGACCACTAACAAGTTCACTGATAAGAGACAAGCAACCCTTTGAAGGTGCCCACTTCAGCAATGGGAAACTCAAATAAAAGAGGCCTCCCAGAACAAAGAAAGCATGGAAACAAATTCATCAAATCTCCTCATTACTGAGCATCCCTGAGTTCCCAAGCTGTATTTAGCTGTGAATGACAACTTTCCTAACTCTGGGAAAGCTTCTGGTGATAGCTAGTAAAAGCTCTGGCACACTTCCAAATCCAGGATTAAAGATTAAGCTTGCTTTTTTTCATGCAAACCCTTTATCAACTGAGATCATCACTGGATTTTGTCTCTGATCAATACAAATCAAGCTGAGCACAGAACTTGATAAAAGAAAGGGGAGAGGGTAAGAAAGAGAAAGGAAAGGGAGGAGAAGACAAGTCTGCCATAATGAATTTTGGAGTCTGCTTCAAGATGATACAGCCTAGTGTAGTAAGAAAAAATGCTTTCAGTATAGTACATCCCTCTTAGATAAAGTTACAACTTTTCACTAAATTTAGTACATAAAACTTTTATCTAATCGACAGATAAATTTTACCACTTTCATTTTTATAGGCGTTAAGGAAGATGGAAACATTTGTCTGAATAACTAAGGAAGTTTTTAAAATTTCAAGGGTATAAATTTTTTAATGTTTTATCCAAATTTAAGAATCTGGCATGTGATATAAACTCAAGAGTATATAATAACATATTTCTCTAAAGTCCAACTAGCAAACATGTTAGTCTATAATAAAATACAAAGATTTCAGGAAAAAAAGAGAGATTTTAGTAAAGAATGTGTTTACAGTTTAATGGATTATAATACAATTTCAATTCAAGACATTTTACTGCATGCCAATATAGGCAATGTGAATATAAATAAGACCCTCACAACCTAGTGGGATAGAAAAATATGTATACGTGTCTACAAACACCAACCATTTGCTTCAGGAAGACCTTTCAACATACAGTATAAGGGCACTTCATAACATTCTTGGAAGTCTAAGTCAGTTTACCAAACTGCCATTTTTAACATATCAAGGTTTGGTTACTGTGTGTAAAACTTAGATTAGAGAAGGGGGAAACTATACATCTAGCTCTGATTAGTAATAAGCACCATTAGTGAAAAAGGAAAACAGGACCAAGCAAAGGTTTAACCAGTTCACCATCACTTACAGAAGAATAATTCAAAGTGGCTTATGTGGAGAGAAAAGAATTACTCTGATATACAAAGGGAAAGTATTTCACACTGTTTAAATTAATCTAAGGCAGAGAGGTCCAAGATGGCGACGGGTCTGGAGCAGCCGTGCCAGGAGACAGCGCGATCCATGTTTTATCCAAATTTAAGAATCTGGCATGTGATATAAACTCAAGAGTATATAATAACATATTTCTCTAAAGTCCAACTAGCAAACATGTTAGTCTATAATAAAATACAAAGATTTCAGGAAAAAAAGAGAGATTTTAGTAAAGAATGTGTTTACAGTTTAATGGATTATAATACAATTTCAATTCAAGACATTTTACTGCATGCCAGTATAGGCAAT